AGCTTACTGTTCGGTGTGAGCCAAGGCTCCGTGTTGAAGACCGTACTGTGACCTATAATGGTTTACTTTTATAAATTTTGACTTGGATGGAGAGTTGTCTCATTGGCACTTATACCACATCTTCTTATATCTATCAACCCATGTATACCCACTTTTGAACCTTATCAATGTATTTGTCTCGGCCCAGGATGTGTTGCTCCAATTGAAATTCCGGGAGTGAAAATTCGAAATTTCTTCCGAATTGATCAGACACATACAAGTAATGAACCATGGGATGCTAAATATTGTTCTGATGGACAGCTGTACGACCAGATTGAGGTAAAGTATATGTATATTGATAAGTATATGACAAAGAAAAAAACTTGTGCATCTTTTTGAATTGTTAGACGAAGTCCCAAATTTCGAAACATGCAGTGCTAAACACGTTAATGGTGGAGAAATATAAACTAATCAGCCGATTATATACGCGTCTGCGCGTATTTCTTAAATATCATCAAGTGCACTCGAGAAAATGGTCAAACAAAAACAATTATTGGATAGATATTGTCATGGATTTTACTTTCCTTTGTTGTTTTATGATATATGCAAGGCCTTTTTATGAAAAAAAAACATGTTGTTCGTGTTATGATTTCTGTGTGTTGCTTGTTTTTTTTTCTTTCTACATTGTTCCCAGTTGTGTTGTTGACTCATGACACATGACGTTTTTCATGAATGTTCTGCATTTGAGTTATATTTCATCTTGTGTTAACTGGTTTGGGGCGAACCAATTTGCCATTTTGTCTAGTTTTATGCGTTTTTACCAAAAATATCATTCCACATAAAGTGTTTGTATTTAGTATAAAATCTTCTAGTCTTGTCAATTTAAATTTACATTTTTAGAAGCTTTGATAGGTTTTAAAAGTTACCGTTGATAACCAATGTTAACCTAAGGATAAGGTATATATAGCATAAGTCGAAAACAACTGACATTTCTATGACATAAAACAAACAAAAAACGGCCAAAAGACAAACAATGGTCTACAAAACGCAACATAAAAAACCTAATGACAGAACAAAAATGACCTTGCCGGGGATAATCTTGGAGAGTATTAAATAAGGAAAGACACCAAAAAGAGGAGAGAAAAGTTTTAGAATTTTAAGTCGAAAAGGAACAGATAAAGAATAGTCTTTTCTACACAGACCGTTAAAGATTAGCAAAACAAAACACGTTAAAATGGTTTTGGCTGTTTTACGAACCTCCAATCTAGAAGCACTTGGCACCTATATGAAACTCTAGACGTTTTAGGAATCTGTATCACCAGAAGTCCATTACTAGACTAGTAATGGACTTCTGGTATCACTCAAAGAACAAAACCGTGTCTTGTTGATCCTTTTTGTTGAACAGAAGTTTTGTCGTTCTATTATATTTTTCACGTTCCGCTATATAGATGATGTTCTCTTACTAAATATTTCAATGTTTAGTAACTATGTTGAACTTAGCTATCCTGTCGAATTTGAATTAAGGATATAACAGATACAGTCTGCCTCACATATTGTCTTCATTCTATAAAACTAACACCGAGGGTCGGTTGAGAACAGAACAACATAAGAGATCAGTTCAGCTTCCCAATTGAAAAGTTTTTTTTTATGTAGCAAAATTCCAGCAGCGCCTGCATATTGAGTATATATCTTCGAATTTATACGATATTCCAGAGCTTGCATTTCGTGTAAAGATTTCCTTGATAGAGGCAAGGGTTGCTGCTTACAAGGAAGCTATTAAACCAGGAGTTCCAAACGATGAAATTGACGTCATCTCTAAGAAAATTTAACGGGCGCCATCCCGAGTTGTTTGACCATTATGAAATATCTATATCACAGATGACGACGGATATGTTCCAACTGTAGTAACCACAATCCCTTTCTCTTTTTCTCGAATATGACTTATCACCAAATTTGTACTTGCATGAGCGCCAAGATGGGTGCTACGTGTGGAGCAGGAACTACCTACCCCGGTTTTTGGTTGGATTCGTGTTACTCAGTCTTAAGTTTTTCCATTTTGTGTTGTGTAGACACTTGTTTTTCCATTTTTGGGAGGCATTGTCAGTTCGTTTTCGTCTTATAATTTTGATGTTTTCTTGTAATAATCAGTTATTTTAAAATGCACAAATTTAGTCAAAGCACTAGCATACGAAATTTACCAGGACATAATTCTTGCAAGCTATTTAATTGAATCACTAAAATGTCATCACAAGTTCGCTTTACCCTTGTCTGGTGATTTGATTGCTAGAACTACATTGTGTATAAATCACACCACAGGTGGTCTAATGATGTGCATTCAGGTGTCATCATGGTGGACATATATTTAATACCCACCATATATCAGAATATGTTCCAGGCTGTACTGTACTTGAATTGTAATTGACTTGGTGTCTCTCTGTTATGAAATGGTTATGCAAACAAACCTTGAAAGAACGTAAATGCAGAGTTCAAATGAAATATATATTATGAGGGGAATCAAATCAAATTCATAAATTTGGAATATATAGTTATTGACCCACACAAATCCTTTCAGTCCAAAGAGCTAAATACCTTGATTGGTGATTATAATCCTGTACAATTAACTTCTTTATACAGGTTGGTTTTTGTAAAGCTTTTTGATAAAAAAAATAATAGCCCTATACTAAAAACAAATACTGAGGCGGAAATCAAGATGGACCTTTTTTAGAATAAATACAGTCCCTGAAATAACAAAATCAGAATAAATAAAATAAACAGTTGACAGAAATATATCTAACCTTATGTAATTTTGATAATATAATGCAAATTTTGAAATTAAAAATGCAGAACTTTATTATGTCAACTATGCAAAACGTTCAAAGTCAATGAACCATGATGAAGGTCCAAGTTCAAATAACCTCTGTGGAAATGAGAAAAAAAAACAATGCTAATAAAATTACATACCAAATACCATAACTTATCATTAATGGTTCCCTTTAAACTGACTTAAACACAAATTTTAACATGAAATTTATGCGAAAATTTAAAGAAACTGTGATGAGGAAGCTGGGCCAAATAATCTCCACGGAATAGAGACTTGCAAATGCTTATACAACTGCATACCAAATATTATTGACCTAAAATTAGTGGCTCATCTTATAGTGAACTAATCACAAACTTTCAGTGTAAACTATGCAAAATTTTTAAGGTCAACAGAACATGAATAAGGGGCAGGGCCGAAACATCTTTATGGATATGATCTGCAAATGCTAATACAGCTGCATACCAATATTATTGACCTCAAATTAGTGGCTCATCTTATAGTGAACTTATCACAAACTTTCAGTGTAAACTATGCAAAAGTTTCAAGGTCAAGAGAACATGAATAAGGGGCAGGGCCGAAACATCTTTATGGATATGATATGCAAATGCTAATGCTAATGCTAATACAATTGCATACCAAATATCATTGACCTAACATTAGTGTCTCATCTTAATGACCTAATCACAAACTTTAATGTGTAAACTATGCAAACATTTCAATGTGAACAGACCATGACTGAGGTGGAAGGGCCAAAACATCTCTATGGAAATGAGATATGCCAATTACTTTTGTTAGTTATTATTGTATTAGTAATAAGAGACATTCAATGGCACACACTGCATAAATATTTAGTAACAATGAGATCAAAATGCTGGTATAGGCAAGCAACTTAACTAAGCATAAGGTTGTGACAATTGCATGTTCTGACTTCGAGATAACTACACTTGATCTCTTCACTCTTACTCTTTGTATTGTTTCTTTATTTTACAATGAGATTGTCACTATTTGATATTATTATTGGCCAATCCCTTACAACACTTAGCCTCTCATATAAACAAGCTGAAGATTAGCAATTAGAAAACTGTTCATCTGCCCATTTAGCAACAGTAATTATTGAGAAATCTATTCATCATGTTTAAATTTATTGTTTACAAATATACATAAATTTCAAATACAACTATTTTTCATAAATATTATATTTTGTATTAACAAGTAATGAAGATTATATCTGAATTCACTAACTTAATTCAATAAACAAATATCTAAACTATAGCTATAAACATCTACAAAAATATAATTACATTATTTGCCTTTACAAATACACTGTACATAAAATTGTTTCTATTTCAAATTTGTTTATAGCTGCAGTGTGTGACAGAGGTATATTATCTATTTGAGAAACAATAAATACAAACCGCTATATGAAATAAACTGTTATCACAGAGATATGTCTCGCCTTTTTGTAATTTTGATAATGCAAATGTTGAAATTAAAATAGCAATACTTTAACATGTAAGTTATGCAAATATTCAAAGTCGATGAATCATGACTGAAGGTACATGGCTAAACAATCTCCATGGAACTAGATGTGCCAATGCTAATACAACTGCATACCAAATACCATTGACTTATTATAAGTCGTTCCCTTTAATAAACCTAAACACAAACATTAACTTGTAAACTATGTAAAAGTTTCAAAGTCAATGAACCATGATCAGGGGTGGGGCTATATAATCTCCATGGAAACGATCCTTGCAAATGCCAATAAATTTGCATACCAAATATCATTGACTTAACATTAGCAGTTCATCTTAAACTGATCTAATCACAAACTAATACATGTAAACTAAGCAAAAGTTTCAAAGTAAATAGACCATGACTGAGGGGGCGTGGCCAAATATTCTGCATGGAAATGAGATGTGCTAATGCGTATACAACTGAACACCAATTAACATTGGCCTACCACTAATGGTTCCCCTTGAACTGACCTAATCAAAAACTAATACATGTTAACTTAGCAAAATTTTCAAAGTCTATAGACCTACACTAAGGGGGCGGGGGCCAAATAATCTCCATGGTAATGAGATGTGCCAATGCTAATACAACTGCATACCAAATATCATTGACCTACCACTAGTGGTTCACCATGAACTAGACCTAATCAAAAACTAATACATTGGTGACGCCACTGCCACCGTCGGCGCCGGAAACAGCATACCTATGTCTCGCTTTTTGACTCCATCAAGGCGAGACAAAAACTAATCATCAAAGCACTGTCAATGCTATGAGTCAGACAATCTATTTTTATCCCAAAAAGCAGCATATCAATAAATTCACACAATTATATTAAATAATTTCCTTAAAAATGTTTTATTTCAATTAGTTGTTGGCAGCTCCTTTTCAAGTATTGAAAGGGATATGCACGTGACTTTAAAGTTACAGTAAGTTGAAGTGTTTTAACTAGGTTTATTAAAGGGCAGAGTGCTTGATTGAAAAGCTCATTAGCGAGTAAATCTTTGCTGTTTGACTTCATTTTGTTTCATTGAAAGGCACATGAGTTGTGAAAAGTTGGTGGTAGAAGATCAAAATGATGTTTTATACTTTCTTAAAGTCTTTTACATATCAATGGTTTTGTATAGGCTTTTAATTCAGGATTTTGATCAATCTTAAAATGAGGCGTGATGACATAGAGACAAGCTGGCTTAAAAATAATCTTCAGGTCATTCTCTGTTCAGTGAGGTTCTTATAAGATATGTGTAATATGGCTGAAGACATGTATCCTATTAATCCAGTAAATATTTGGAACGGTGAAAATGTATAAATGTATGAATGTACATGTATTTTCTACTTTCCTTATTGAATTATTTCCCTGGGTATTCAATATCTTACAGGTATATGCAATTGAAGCTGTAGATTAAGTAAACCATTAAAGACAAGGTACAATTAAAAAGGTTAAATTTGTGTTACAAAAAGAAAACCCTAATACAAAAGTTGCAAGATCGATATAGTTGGTGACAAGTTTATATAGATTTAAGGACTAGATATATAATAGTAAAAAATTGGAAGTCTACACACATTCCAAATCATTGAATCGACAGACACAATGTTGATTGCAGACTTTAAAGGTGTGTAGACTTACAAACAGGCAAAATATGTTAGGTATCACATTAACGTTTAGATATTTTGGCACATTGGTATATAAGTCATTACTATACTACTTCACAATGTAAAATCTCAAAACGAATATGGTGAACTTAAATATTACAAATCAACATTGAATTAGAGCTAAATTTTATAATTTATACATTGTTTTTTGTCCAGAACATCATGTTTTGAAATGTAAATAAATTTGTTTTTAAAAAAACAATATCTAATGTAGACATAAATTCAACAGTTTTTTCTTTACTCCTAAATTACAGCTCCACTTCATTCAGCTTTATTCAAAACATGTTCTACTTGTGATTGGTCTTCAACTATAATATGACCTCAACACAAATTTAGTAACTCTGACACTTATCAATCGTGTCTTTCTTTTTTTGTATGTTCAAGTTTTCCATATTTAACTATTTCTTTTGACAGGAACAATATTTAACTATTTCTTTTGACAGGAACAATATTTAACTATTTCTTTTGACAGGAACAATATTTAACTATTTCTTTTGACAGGAACATTGGCTATACTTTATTTTCCACTACCTGTTTACAGTTTTATTTCCTCAAGCTTTCCCCAACTAGGTCCTGCCTTAACTTTAACTGGCAGACGCACAGATAGCTTCATGGCATTCTCCATCTCACTTTGTATGATCTGTGCCACAGGAATCATGTCATCTTGACATACCTCATAAATCAGTTCATCATGTAGCTGTAGAACAAGATAGCCACCAGATAATTTCATTGTTGTTGATTTACTTCTGCTTCTAACATTACATCTTTCTACAACAACAGGTTTATCTACAGGTAAACTGTAAATTCAGAAATTTTTGCATACATGTATTATTGTAATTGTTGAAAAATGAACAAATGTGTGTGATTTATTATTCTGATGTTAGTGAATAATGCGCTCATTAATACTATCAAGTTTTAAGATACAAATTTTATTTTTTGAACTACCTATTCTCTCACAATTTTTGCAATAATAAAAACATCACAAAAATGTTTGAACTTACAGTAACAGAAAACAAGTTTTATAAATATTTGTTTGAGCCTTTCATTTTCACTGCTAATTTTCCTGTGCATGCATATCTGGGCTGAAGGCATTTGGCTACTTCTTCAAATAAATAAAACATTTATTCCTTTTTCAACAACAACATCCCCTATTTCTTTGGGATATAGACCCAAATATAAAACTTGACTAAAGTCATTCAAGCTTTATATGTGGGTCATGGTGACCTAAATGTCATTTTATTATACAAAGGGACATTAATAACAAAGCATAACTGATGTATCATTTACCAGAAATTATCAAATACTTCACAAAAGTGTAAAAGATAAATTTACTTTTTGTTAAAATCCAAGCAAGCAGTTTGTATTTTGGTTGGCATTTTTGTAATTGCAACCAATATTTTTTGACACGCAGAATCATTTTGGAATAGCAAATTATAACTACATTTTGATTTTCATTGAAATCCCTAACAAAAACTTCTATTTCCAAAAAAAAATCATTTTTTTACAATAACTAAGTTTTACAGTAAATTTTACACACAAATTATCACAAAAATTAATTTTGTGATTGGGAATCAATTTTTAATAGCATATCGGTATATCAAAACTGTACATATTTTTTTTAATTCTAGCACAAGATATTTCTAAACATTTGTGATATTTTAAAATTATGTTTTTTTATCACATATTTTTGTCAAAGTTTCACAAAAATTACTATTATAAGCATTAACACTGTGCATAAAATGTTGAAAATTGGTTGAGGCAATCTTGACATAAAGCATAACATAGAAGTGCTGACAGACATACAAACAGACAGAGTTTAATCTGATATTACTATAGAACATCCTCAAACCAATCGACATGGCCCTTATAATTAAAAATCAATAAATTTTCATTATTAAGGATGTTAAATAATCTTGTTTTTGACTTTTTGTCAGATATTCAGAATCCTCTGGTTTCATTCATGAAGTGCCATCAAAAATTTTACTGGCTAACCCCTACTTTTCTTTTCATAATTTTATTACATCTAGTTTTTAAAACTCCAGTAAAATCCTTGTTATTTTTTCAAAGTTTAAAAAAAAAATAAAAAACAAACATTTTAAAATGTATGAAACATCTAAAGAGAAATATTTCCCGCCAAATATATTTTCAATAGTTCATATCTTAAAAACAAGGACACAGACCTATCATTTTTTTCTGCTTTTCCATTATCTTTATACTATCAATGTATACATTCCTCTAGAAGAAGAAGAAGAAGAAGAAGAAGAAGGAGAAGGAAGAGGAGGAGAAGGCAGTGGATGAGGTGGTGACCTACTGAAAAGACTTATCACGCTCTTAGTATTTACATGAGCTTTGTTAGTTTGTTTTAGACTTATGAGTTTGAATATCCCTTTGGTATCTTTTGCCTCTCTTTTATAAGTCATTACCAAATATGAAGTCCAATTATTTTAGTATCATTTTCACATCACTTTAATATCTACATCATCACTAGATGACAATATCTTACCAATAAATTTATGACAATGAGTGTATGCTGATTGTGGGAAGACTTCCTTTAATTTTATATCAATATGATTCATTGCTGTTTTGACCAGATCTGCTGCTGAACCTTGTACTGTAGTATTTACTGCCTGCCTCTCTGCCTAAAATATAAGCAAATATTCATCTGTAGAATACTATACTATAGTTCCCTCTCAAAATATTGTTAACAACTAATTTCATGACTTTCGCAGGTAGAAAAGTGATGTGAATATAAATTGTCCGGAATATGTAAAACTTGTGGACTTCCCTTTATATAAATGTGTTAGGGAAATTTAAAAAAATAGCTAAAAAAAATTGTCTGCTAGAAAGGGTTGTACATGAAAATAAAGTATCTGTGAAAATTAGTTGGTTAACAGTAGGTCTCTTACAAGTGCAGTTTCATTATCACATGATTTTTAAAATTTTCTTTTAAAATTCAATCTCTACTAGACCGCATTTGTTTGTCAAAGAGATAAATTTCAAAGAAGAGGACTGGTTTTCAGGTTTCTTTTATAGGTTGAAAATGTTACTGAGTTACATGTTCTTCAACAATGCTCAAACCTGTATTTCCAATACATTATACGTTAATCAAACTTCCACATATGCTGAGATTTAGATGGTGTGGTGGGTTGTTAAAGGTTATCTTTCCACCACATCAAGGACAAGAACATTTTTATGTAATATGACTAGAAATATGAACACTCTTTTGTACTATGCTCAAATACTAGGCTTATTTATTTACTTGTTACTTCACAAGGAAACAATCCACAATAAGTGATAATTACATGAGCTCTGGAATATGGTTGGGTAGAAGTTATAGATGGTAAATATCGTCTTCTGCCATTAATGGTTTGTACATAGCCTTTATCTCTACAGAATTCTACTGTGGTTCTCAAATATGTTCTCATACCTGTAAAATAAGAATTAGAACAGACTGTCTATCATTTAACAAGCATTTAGCTAGATTTGAACTTTGTTCAACCAGGACAAAAATTAAGCGTGCATAGAAAATTAGTATTTTCATAGTCTCTTAATGATAGGTGGTCAAATGCAATTATTTTCAACCGAAGTTAACTACATGTCTCAGATCTTTTTATGAATTGATTTCTATGTAATATTCTCTATCAAAATAGATGTACATGTAGAAATATTGTCTTTGTTAAATTTGTCTAGAAAAAGTGTTTTAATTAATAATAAGTAACAATAAGGTCTGACAAAACCTATGAAATGAATTAAGACTGAGATTGAAAAGAACATTTTCAAATTGGAGACTTTCCATTTGTGAATAGTCTGATGGAAAATGCTCCGGTAAGCAAACTTAACAAGTTGTCATAGTTAGCCAGCTCCTAATATAAAGTGTCTATATGCAATAAATTTTATTTTTTTAATTGAATCACAATACTCACTTGGGTATTTAGCTTTAAATGTCTCTATAAATACAGCAGCATCATTTTCATCCACTTCTAACTGTTGACCCAGAGCTTTTGCACCTATCCCATAGATCATACCATAACACACCTAAAACAGGGCAATAATTCATTAACATTTTATAACAGTTTTGCACTACATGTACTACTATGGATCATACCATAACACATTTTTAACAGGGCAATAATTCATTAACTGTCGGTACACAGGTTCTACAACTGTTCCTTATATCTTACAATATATTTTGTATAAAAGGTGAATAATTCATAAAATGTTAACCCAGATCTCTGTCACCTTTACAATAGATTACAACACTATTACTGGGGAGGAAAAAGTTTACAAGACCATGGGTCAATAATTAATTACCTGTTGACCACTGTAATTTTGTATTTTGAATGGTAACCATATCTTTCTTTTTATTTACAATTTGATCATTTAGCTGCAAGATAATCAAAAGTCATAAATAAACTGAATCATTTTGTTTAAATAATGATTATTGGTCAAATTAATAACCAGTAGGAATACCTTAAAGTCAACAGGGCCTCAAACACTTCAGCAACCAGTCTACTTACATAAAAGAATACAATTTTGAATGTTGGCCCCTAAAAATCACCAGCTTAATTATTTTGTCGCTTGGTGAATTAAAATGTCAAATAGCAACCTGGCAGCTGACAGCACAATCCTTAAATAATAGTTGGTGTCTAGCCATTATTCACTTTTTCCTTCTTGACAGCATTAAAACAATGGCAAATCAATCAGTCTAATGCCCCAGGACATAATTTTTAAGTTACCTGTTTAGCCTGTTGTCTCTCTACAGCAGTAACCACCTCTGGTGAAATCCCTTTCCATTGAGCTGTTATAAGTTTAAATACATCACCATCTTCATTTAATATTCTGATCAGCTTCTGGTCTTTAGACAAGTGTGCTATCATTCTTAATTCTAACTGAGAATAGTCAGCTGCTACCAAAATGCCACCTGAAATAAATTGCCAAACAAAAAAGTATGTCTGTTAATTGTTTTTTTCTTAAGACTAATCAGCTGCTACCAAAATGCCACCTGCATACAGAGAGAAAACAAATATTTTGGTCAAACTAAAACATGTGTGCTTAGGATTTTCTTTTTAAGAATAATATATTAGGATTTTCTTTTTAAGAATAATATATTACGATTATAGGTAGGTAGGAATTATTTTTTTTTTTCCACTTAATTTTTTTTACATTACATATATTGGGAGATGTGAAAATTTTGTCATGATTCACAACCAAAAGTGCCAGTAAAAATTTAGGGTAGGTAATTTGTAGAATAACTTCATAACTTCATGGTCAACTACCTTAAACCAAAACTTACAAGTTAACTTAAACCAAAACTTACAAGTTAACTTAAACCAAAACTTACAAGTTACCTTAAACCAAAACTTACAAGTTACCTTAAACCAAAACAAGCTACCTTAAACCAAAACTTACAAGTTACCTTCAACCAAAACTTACAAGTTACCTTAATCCAAAACAAGTTACCTTAAACAAAAACTTACAAGTTACCTTAAACCAAAACTTACAAGTTACCTTCAACCAAAACAAGTTACCTTAAACCAAAACTTACAAGTTACCTTCAACCAAAACTTACAAGTTACCTTAATCCAAAACAAGCTACCTTAAACCAAAACTTACAAGTTACCTTCAACCAAAACAAGTTACCTTAAACCAAAACTTACAAGTTACCTTCAACCAAAACTTACAAGTTACCTTAATCAAAAACAAGCTACCTTAAACCAAAACTTACAAGTTACCTTCAACCAAAACTTACAAGTTAACTTAAACCAAAACAAGTTACCTTAAACCAAAACAAGTTACCTTAAACCAAAACTTACAAGTTACCTTCAACCAAAACTTACAAGTTACCTTCAACCAAAACTTACAAGTTGCCTTCAACCAAAACAAGTTACCTTAAACCAAAACAAGTTATCTTACACCAAAACTTACAACCAATATGACAGACCTTACATCAGAATTTTTTTGACGAATCTCATATAAGTCTTCTAAAGAAATAGACCATTCATTGTATACCTTACATCAGAATTTTTTTTGACGAATCTAATATAAGTCTTCTAAAGAAATAGACCATTCATTGTATACCATACATCAGAATTTTTTTGACGAATCTAATATAAGTCTACTAATTATAAAGAAATAGACCATTCATTGTATACCATACATCAGAATTTTTTTGACGAATATCTAATATATTTCCAACTGAAGTACAAATTTAACAGGCTGACACCTTCCTTACCAAGATGAATTTCTTAAAATGCCATTGAGAAAGACACATTTTTCCCCTTTTTAGTGTGCTCATTGTCAATGGTTAATGTTTATCTTTTTGATAAGGTCCATTTCAGAATTTGTACTTGTAATAGAACATTGTTATATGATATGCTGTTGCATTAGAAGCCAGGGATCCCTATTTTATGTACATGCTAACATCATAGAAAAACAGTTTTATTTTGTTGCAATACCAGAGAGACATAGCTTTTTGTTGATGGCCTTATTTCATGAATTGGTCTATCTATGGATTCTCTGTCTATTCATTCATATTCATTAAAATAATTTTAAATACCTTTAAATGGGACAAAGGCATGTCTCATGCTGACAGAATATGAACTATTTCTGGTTATGTTCTCAACTCTTGCTGTTGATTTTGAAGCACTTTTCATCTGATTTAATTTTCCTTTTATTTTTCTACCTGTAGGGGGTCCTTTTTCTGGTGTAGGACTTTCTCCTATAACATCTAAAAGATAAAAATAAGATCATCACTGAATAATTAGTTGGGTAAGTATGTGATACCATTAATAATCACTTCAAACCAGAATGATTCATTTAAAATTTAGAAAGATCAGGAAAAACTCCTTTAAATCTTATCACTTCTTTTTATACATCATAACATGATTTATTTCTAATACAAGTACTAATTGAATATTCAACATATTTAGAGCTATTCCTTTCTGGACCATGTGTTGTTTGTAGTTTTTTTTCTTCAGAGGAGTTCCGTGTGGTCTGTTGTTTTGTGATTCTTTTTATCCTTTTTAGGGTATTATACCATAGGTCAAGCTCTTAATCTCCCCTCCTGAGTCTAGAAAAGCAAGACAATAGCAATTCAAAAGTATGTTATTGTTATTTAAACTTACCTGGTAAACTGATATCAAAATCTTTGGGAATGTTCTGTAAATTAGGTTCTGTCATACTGACTCGGCCTGTAGCGGTGTGAAATTGTGTCTCACAAAATATACGATACATATCTGTTCGTGTGTTATGAACTTTAACCTTCTGTAACTGAAAAACAACCTTTGTCAAAGCACTGCTAATTCTTCTCCATTCCAGGATGATGCTTGGTAAGGGATGAAAGGGCTTTAACTTTTCTAAAACTTCCTTTGAAGTACTAAGTGTACCTCTACCACGACCCTTCCTTTGACCTACTGCCCTTTTGCTTCCACGTAATTGACCTACGTTTGATGGGTCACCATCAGGTGGCAGTTGCAATTCTATGAACAAAACCTAAAATAAAGAAAGAATGTAAATACTGAATAAATAAATATCTTTTAAAAAAATTAGTATAACAATTAAATAAATAATAGCAATTCTATCATTGTCTCTTCAATGCATAATATTTATGTTGTTTGGTAAAATCTATCTCAGTGAAACTTGCTATAGTCATTTCCAATAATGTCCTGACACACTCAGTCTCTAGTAAGAGAAAGAGTTTGTCATTTACTTACAGAATATCACTGGTTTACCAAGGCTGCTTGTTTCACCAAACAATAAAAATTTGTAAAGGGTTACACAGAACCCTGTGTCTCGTCTGCGATTGCTGCTGTCAGTGTAAAAGTGTAATGTTGACCTAAAAAGTGAGTCCATTTATCAGTAAAATACAGAATTTGAAAAAAAAAATTTTGTAGATGCTTTTTCTAGGTCTTGAAGATTGGCATCTGTCCAAGTTTCATAACCATTCATGAAGGTTTACTAATTTATCATGTAAAAAAAAAATCAATCCCAGACTGACTGTAAAGTCCATTTATCAGTAAAATACGGAAAAATGAAAATGAATATTTTCAAAATTTTGCTCTTGTTACTGTATTTTGGTCATAAACAAGCTTTTCATAAAATTCCATGAAGGTTTGATAAAGTTATTAATGTCTAAAAAAAACTTTAACCACAAACTGAACCTAAATGTTGACACCACATGACAGAATCTAGGAATGCTTTGTCTCGCTTTCGCGACATAAATGTTGCAGGCTTGACAAAAATGACTGGCATGCTATGATACAAATGTATAGAAACTGACAATAAACAAGATAAAACAAAAAATCAAGCATGGCAGATAACTTCAGAAGATTCATTACTATTTGATCTATTTATAACCTGTGTTTTTCCAGGTCAATTTGAAAGTAAATAGTCTTGTATGTTACCTGAGCTATATCATCAGTAGCAGATAATGATAATGGGTGTCCAGCAAGGTGATATGCCTGGTCTTCTAATGATGATAGTCTAGCTAACATAATGTTCATCTGACTTTCACACTCATTTTCACTGTATCCTGGAAAAAAAACAACAAACAGAAGCTACTTATGTAAAAATATTTATTCAGAAAATAGCTGAAATGGACAGGACAGCAGACTTAAGCCTATATACATCAACTCCAAACACATCCACCTCAACTATTTTATCAAAATTAGAAGAAACCATTTATATTTTATCTAATCAATATTGCTGCACAAGTAGCCTTGCCTTAACCATGGTCTAATATTAAAGAATTACATTTGTCAACACTTAAAGCTATATTGATCTAACTGTAATATCAGTATTTTCTCAAACATTAACAGTCAAGTTAAAAATACTAAGAATGAGAAAGTAAGACCTACAATTCACCTTCAAATCATCAATTCATTTGTTACAAATCATTACAATAATGACACTTACCAAAACCATTTAACTCCATCCTAGCCAGTGTAACAATGGATGGCATCTCTACATCCAAAAAAGTGGTCAGTAATTCCTCTTTCTGTAGAACATTGACAAAATAATCCATGACATGTAACGTAAGGACTGATTCTGTTGTAGCTCTAAACCTCCCTGATCCTGGATTCTCTGGTGTCAGACCAATACTACCATAGCCTATTCCACCACCAATTCCTGAAAAAGGGGTTAAGTGCTAAATAAGCAGCAGTTTTTGTATTCATTGACCTAGATAGGAAAAAGAGTCAGACCTGGCCTGCAGCACTGCAGCGCTTGCAGCATACTCTTAAACAGAAAAATTCTGTCAATATCAAATGTTATTGTAATATCAATGATATTGTATCTTTATTTAGTAAGGTTTGTGGAACATTTTCTTTCATGCAGAAAACCCCTAAAAATCAAAATCTGTTTAAAAGAAAATAAAGGCATTTATAACACTTGATCAGTAAATGTCAAATGTGTCAAAATTAAACTTCCTTTGACATAATGTCAAGTGGTACTTAAGTTATCATCAGAAAACACCCAAAATTTATATTCTTAAGATAAATAAGGGGCCACAACTTATGAGTGGTAAATTTCAAAACAGTCAAAACCATATGTTACTTTTTATTAAATGGCTAATGACATTGTCTTCCAGTTTAAAAAAATTTCATCAAGTTGAACTTATTAATAAATAATATCTAGAAACCAAAAGTATGATGGTCAGAAAAATAGACTAGCATGCTTGTGTGCATCACTATATACCCCCATCTTTGAGGTGGGTGTAGAAAAATACCTTCTAACAGTCCTCCTTCTGTTGGTAGATAATTGTGCACCATTCCATGTAAGTTCTTCTCCTTGGCTCCTGGGTCTAACAACCAATAGGCTATTTTTGGATCCTGGATTTTCCCAGCTGGGATTAAACCACACCCTTTAACTAGTGTTGTATACTGAGATTTACTGTCAAATATCATTAAGGATTTAGCCTTGCCTCTATACATGGCTTTCTCCATGACAGACTGAATGACCTTTAATTTGACCTCTGTAGTTATTGTTTCATCTGAAGGAGCTGGAGCTAAAGAATCATCTGGACATTCTGAAAATAGATTATAAAGTAAAAAAAAACAATGAATAAAGTTATGGCACTGTATGTTCTTCCTTAATATTAAGATAGACATTTTGAAAATCTTCTAATATATATATTAATAAACATTAGTTAACAGATTCTTTCTACCAGGATTTCAAAATTAAATGTAAAATTTAGAGTGAGTTCACTACACAATAGATTTGACCTTAAGACAATGTTCCTGTTTAGGCCCTCTTGGTTTTGTTGCTATTAAAATATTCATTTGATTTCCCAAATTTTTGGTCTCCATCATACCTGATGATTATTTTGGAAACATGTGTTGTGTTTACATAACTAATTATAATGCGTTTATTATAGTTAAAGCATTGTTAATTATTCTTATATTTTCAGATAATCTGTACATAAACCAAAAGGTTTTTCATTTCATATTTACTGTTTCAAGATACATGTATCCAAAATTTTAGGGCAGATTAATAATCATTTACATGTTTTCATACTTTAAAGACATTAAAAACAACAGACCCATTAAAAGAAAATCTTATATTTACTATCAGTCCAAAGTGTTTGACTTCAAGATGACAAAGAACAGCTATTGTAATGATATACAGATTGTTTTAAGTGCTTCTTTCTAATAGAAAATTGGCTGATTTCTATGGTTACTAGAAGTATCAATATAATGCAAGGTATTACTTAAAAATTGACAGACAAAAAGGCAAAAGGCAAATTATATTAATTAGTCATGTTAATAACACCATAATTTTTTACTTTCTGTATCTTCATCTTTAAATGAGATGTAGTATGAGTCTCTGTTCTCCCAACAGACAGCCAGACCGACAATGATCAGATCTGTTCCATCAACTGTCAATCCTTCATTCTTATCAATCTTTTCACTGGACTGGACTGGAATATAATTTGTACAAAATGATTAAAAATGATTAAAAATGGTAAATGTTAAAATCGTTTAAAAATATTAAATATAGAATCTGTCCTATACAACTACAGAAACAAAGACAATTTTTTAAAATACAGAAAAATTGTAAGTAATAGTAAGTAATAGTTTGTCATAAATGAGTCATATTTGGGTACTTAGGAAGAACATCTATCATTGCTATGATTGTACCCATTTTGAAACCTTTTTTAATCAACATTAATGATCAGTAAAAGAAATTTGGTAAACGTCAAAAAGACAGCAATCTAAAATCACAAGAAAACACAGAACAACATCTAGAAAACACATTAAACAATATCTATAAAAGCACAAAACAAAATCTAGGAAACACGAAGCAAACAAAAAAGACATATAGAGGTCAACAAAAAGTCTTAAATGGTGGCAAGTATCCATAATGCATGGTTCACACATCATGCACTTTGAAAATGAGCCTAGACCATTTTCTGAACTGATGAATGCAAACTATTATCAAAAGATGTATATCCTGGTTCTATCTGCTGAGTCTACTTAACATCATTTTTTTTAACAAAAATTGAAAAGTAGTGTAAATTTGAAGTTTATTCTCATTTTGTTATCATGGTTATGCCAATAGGTTTTTTTCATTTTATAAGCTAAAGAGAATTATACTTAAGAAGTTCAGGTAAAAAAAATATCCAAATGATCAATGTCCAGTCATACTGTTATACACTTTGACATCAGTGATAAGTCAAGGTCAAATTTATTACAACAAAGTCAAATACTGTAATCAAAGCACCAAGGGCGCTATAGGCAGTTAATTAAAAAACCAAAGGCAAACTTGGCAGAAGTTCAGATGAATATAGTGGAAGAATTAGTGGAAATATTTATCTCAGGCATTATTCTCAGCTATTTCTGAAGTATCAAATAATGTTTGTACAGAAATGTGTACGCTATCCAATTCCACCACTTTCAAAAGTTATTTCCAATTTATATTTTTAAAGATTCAGTCTGAGATTATGCACATACACTGTCCCATGTTAGGGGAGAATTTTGTGCCAGCTAACATGTTTAAGCCGCCACATTCTGCATGTACCTGTCCATAGTGAGGACCCACTAATTTGGTGATTGTTGCTGTATATCATATTTATTTTTTATAATTGTTTTGTACATAAATCAGGATGCTTCAGTTTTATTGTTTTACATTTGTCAATTCATGGTCGTTTATAGCTTACTATGCAGTATAGGTTTTGCTAATTGTTGCAGGCTGCATGGAGGAATATTCTTATCTGAATAATAATTTCGATAATGGTGTCCAACAGTGGTGTATATATGGTTTAATTCCACTTTGTATGTACTAGAGTTTGAATATGCCATATTAGCGGTTTTAGTTGGATCAGCTGGTGCCACTAGTACTATGCACAATTATCAAATCATACCTGAAACTATCTGAAGTGGTGTTATTTTCTTGTATATTATATTACAATACATGCTTATGTTGTTAAAATGGCCTAGCAATGATGCAACATATGTTTTAGAAGGCTATACGGTTGCCTATAATTGCTTACATCCACTTCATTTGAATTTTTGTGGATAGTTGTCTCATTGGCAATCATTCCTCATCTTCTTATTTTTATAATAATTGTACATGTCTAATCTATAATAAGCTGTTCACACAGAGACATGTTTTGCCTATTTGTTGTTTTGATAATACAAATATTGCAATTAAAAAAGGCATACTTTAACGTGTAAAATATATTCAAAGACAATGAACCATGACTGATGGTACAGGGCTGAACAATCTCCATGCGAATGAGATGTGCCAATGTTTATACAACTGCTTACCAAATACCATTGACTTTTCATAAGTCGTTCCCTTTAAACAAACCTTAACACAACTTCAATTTCTAAGTCAATGAACCATAATGAGGAGGTGGGGTTAAATAATATCCATGGAAATGAACCTTTTAAATACCAATACGTTTGCATACCAAATAGCTTTGACTTAAGATTACTGGTAATATTAAACTGACATCATCATAATACCTAATCACAAACTAATTCATGTAAACTAAATAAAAGTTTCAAAATCAATAGATCATGCATATGACTGACGAGTACGGACCAAATATCCGCTATGGAAATGAGACATACTAATGCTTCTACACCTGCATGCCAATTATCATTGACCTACCACCATTGGTTTCCCTAATACTAACCTAATCAAAAGCTAATAAATGAATTTTCAAAGTAACATAAGGTTCCAAGTAAAGAGAGCATGATTGATGGGGCGGGCCAAATAATATCAATGGAAATTAGAAATGACAAAGTTTATACAACTGCACACCAAATAGCATTGACCTAATACTATTGGTTCCCCCTAAAATGACCTAATCACAAACTTATACATATGTAAACTATGCAAAAGTTTCAAAGTCAATAGACCATGACTAAGGGTGTGGGGCCAAATATTCTCCATGGTAATGAAATGTGCCTATGCTTACACAACTGCTTACCAAATATCATTGACCTACCATAACCTAGACCTTATCACAAAATCACAAACTAATACATTGTTGATGCCGCCAAAACAGCATGCCTATATATATAGATGTCTCTCTTTTCGACTCTGTCAAGGCAAGACAAAAATTGCAACAAAATTAATACAAATATTTGGCCATCTTTTTTTTAATAATTTCATATTCCTCATTTCTTAGATATATAAATGCTGTGGTCACACATAATTCCAATTCGATTCGCATTAACTGATTTGAATTTATAGTTTAATACCCATTCGAAAAGTTTAACATGTTTAATGTCCAAATGTAAATTCTACTTCAAATTGCAATACGCGTCAAAATCGCTTTACTGTCCAAATGACGTTAACTTTTAATTCAAGAGAGGGACGAAAGATACCAGAGGGACAGTCGAACTCATAGATCGAAAAGAAACCGACAACGCCATGGCCAAAAATAAAAAGACAAACAGACAAATAATAGTACAGATGACACAACATAGAAAACCAAAAACTAAGCAACACAAACCCCACCAAAAACTGGGGGGTGATCTCAGGTGCTCCAGAAGGGTAAGCAGATCCTGCTCCACATGTGATTTAT